ACCTCAGAAGAAGAGGTGAATTTTCCTCATGCTGTGAAACCCCATCCCACCCGAGCTGGTCGTGCTGCGATGAACTGCAGTGATCGAGTTGGAGGTGGGGAATTCAGAGCTCATAACTGGGCATCTCAAAACCTACTGGGAGCAGTAATCCTCTGGGCTTGTTTTAGACAGAAAACAGTTTTCATTCAGGAATTCCTTTGTGAGATTCATAGTTTAAGATTAGAATTGTTCCTGGAAGGAAAATCTCAAGAAGCTTTGAGGGTGACATAGTTCCTAGGGTATGAAGGAAGGCCAGCATTTAAGAGTGAGTCACTAGAGATATTATCCCTGATTGACAACGCCCTCAGCTACTGCTTTCACAGTGTCAGCATCAGAAAGGCTTTTTTAATTTATCTACCTAACTGAAGAAAAGAAATCTGAAAGGAAATTTAGGAAAGATCAACCCTTAAGTCACCTAGTATTTCTTGATGGAAAACATTTCCCACAAAAATTTGAACTTTAGACTCACTTAAGAACTCAATCAGAGCTAATGCAAAAAAAAACCCAAAACTTGGCAGGATCTTCAGCCACAGATAGTTAGTGTTTGCTCAGGGCACTCTCCTCCTTTTCCCCCAGATTTAAATGGCATTTTCATATTGTGAACAAAAATTATAGACCTTCACAGGATTTCAACCTGTTATTTCCCAGCATGGAGGTTGAAAGGCATCGAAGCAACACAGATATTTTATAATGTGTTGTTTACTCTCATTATTTATAGAATAAGAGGAGGACAGTTTTCGGGCAACAGTCAAATTACTTGTAAACCAGATGAAGTACATATTTTCAAAATATCCTTTGTTCTCCCTTTAGAATTAAAGGCAGGGCTGAGGTGGATTGACAACTGTGCGCTACTGCTCCCGTAAGACAAAGATGGACAATGAATGTAAAGCACAGGACAGATATTACTGTGCTTTACTTAAGGACAGTGAAATGAAAGATAATGTGGGTGTTGTCAACCCATAAGATAGAGCTGAAGGTGATTTACAGAATGATAGAGCAGTTCTGTTCCATTTCCTATACACCAAGTATATTCACAAGTTGATGTAACTAGCTCTAGGCTGACATTTTCCTTTTACACGACGGACAGAGTGGTTTAGTGCTCATAATGATTGTGTTCTTCCAAATGATATAACTACTAAGTAGCGCTTTAGTGCAAATCTACTACTTAGCCGCTGTGTCATTTGATTCAAGCTGTAGAGGGAAAATTCTTGGGGGAAAAAACCAGCCAGTGCCACAGAAAACACATAATTTCAAACAGTTTGACCTGCTCTGTTTATTTAATGAGAGAGTATTAGGTGTGGTAGAACAAGTTGGAAGAGGGAAATACCACATATAACTGGTACTTTATAGCCAAAATAGCTGTAGAAAGAAGGCAGAATACAGGAATGCAAGCTACTTCTTTGGAACACGCTAGTTTATTTGTCAAGATAATTCTCATGCAGAACAGATACTCTGATGTAAATTAATTATTGAAATTAGATCACGGCTGGAAAGGAATCACATTAACTTGAACCAACAGTTGATACTGATTAAGTTATTTTTCTTAAATCTGCATTTTTAAAGTGAGACAGAAAATGCTTATGGGCTAAAATTTTAGAAGAAAATGTAATTTTAGTCACTAACTATATTACTCAAATAAGTGTACCAGAAAAAAATACACTGTGTTTGAAAAGAACAGAACAGAAACAAGCGTCTTTCTTGCAGAGCATTTTATTTCTAGTTTTCCATGATCCCTGTATAAAGCTGACAGGGCTTTGCAATTGTGGAAATGGTAGCCTTCAGTCCAGAGAAACTGTCTCCACTCTCATCTACTCTGAGTTTGCCCTTTGAGCGTCTCCGCACCCAGTGGTCAGCTGGAAAACCATTTGTGTTTTCAATCCATGAACACCCCCCCCCCAGTATTAAAATTTAGCACACTGAAAGTGATCTTCAAATACCTCTGATGAATAACATCAAGATTAAATAATTTATTTTAGTTAAATATTTACAATCCCAAAGGGACTAAGAACCATAAAGTTAGTGAAGGACGAAGTGACAGCCTTCAAGGCAAATTGCTCGCTCTCTCATCCTTTTTTTATTTTCTTTGTCTTCTTGTGCATGGCACTTGTGACTGCACTGCTAGGTTTGGCACATGAGCTATTACTTCAGAATCCACGTTCTGATTTTTACTTCTATACTATAGTTTGATGTAAGTGAGGAGCAGAACTCTCTAACGTTCTACAGCTTCCCAGAAATACACACTAGGAAGTTTTTAATTCCATGAACAAAATGGCTTAATTTTAACATGGCGTCTTCAGGCTGATCCTTTATGTTTAAATTCTACCTGGAGATGCTCAGTGTGAAACCAAGCAGAATTTTGAGAAGTTGGCTGGGTGGATGCAGAGCCATTCTCCAAGGCTCAGCCATGGAGAGCTCCCTGGAGAATGTCATCACTGATTAGCCTTGATATATGCTCCCAAGCCTAGAAAACAACACTGACAGCAGGAGGACCTGGCAGCATGTGTAAGACTACTTCTTTCTTTTGCAGCAAACACAGAAAAAGAAAAAAGCTCCCTAAATACAAGGAAAAGAGAAGCTCAAAGATGAATTGGGAAGGAAAGATGCAACATATACTAAATATAGGCTGCCAAAGTAGTCATTACCTCACTCCTTGTTTTAAGATATCTGGCCCATTTGTATTTTTGTCTGCATAATTAGTACCCTTAGACATCTTTTTTTCAACAGGCTTGGCACTTCGTTTCTTGAGGAAACAGCATGATGATACTTGTGCTAAATAGTGCTTATAAAGAATTACCATCTAAGCGGTCCATCTCTTTACGGGCACCCTATTTTTAACGAGACAGGTCAGGCTTCTACAAGAGGGCTGACAAGAAGAAGAGATTTCCCCTCCCCACCGAAGGCAGTATCTCTTGTGTGTGGTTGAAACAGAAAAAGATAAATTAAAAATAACTCCAAGAAAATAAATCAACTTACTGTGGCTGAATTCTGCTATAGCTGTAATGATAGCAAGCAATCGCATATTGCTTTATAATTATTAGTTAATTAAACTCAACACTGTGATAGAGAAGTTACTCTAATTTATAGATGGTTGAAGTGAGATACAGTTCAACATCATTTGGAGTGTAACTTGGGCAGAAACCTACTTTGCCAGTTTTCTGTCATAACTATTAAGCACGATAATGACCTCTGTACTGAGCAAAGTAGCTGGTACAAGTTAAATTTCCTAACATTTTGTCCAGATTAGAGTTTTTACGGGGACTGAGAAAGCACACAGATGAAAAGAGAGCGAAGAGAAGTACCTACTGAAATCTCTACCAAAGCCAACCTTGCCCAGGTTCTCCTTCTAAAAACCAGAAACAGTCATCAACTTGCCATGGGGAAAAAGTGTACCATTTTCCTCCTCACGGTTAATGAAGAAGAGATCATAAATGTTCAGTCAGCAGAAAATATAGGCTATTTGATGACTGTCCTATGGCTGTTCTATTATGTGCCATTTATAATCCAGCAGTATCCATCCAGAAGCCATGCCTAAAACTGGGACGCCCACTTTTCCAGGAATAGTATAAAGACATAAGCAAATACAGAGCTGATTCTTAGTTATTCATACTTTAAATAAATATCTAAATAAGACAGAGTGGGCTGGCAGAGAACAACTGACATTTTACATAGAGAAGAAATTCAGGCAGAATTCTGAGGAATTCAGAGAGCGGATGACAAAACCGAAACTTTTTCCACGAGATTGTACAGGTCAAAAGTTGCAAACCATATGCCGTTATGGATTCATAACCTCTTGCGATACCAGCAAATAAATTTAGTCATGGGAATGAGTAAATAAATGTTTCTCTGCCTATAACAAAGCTGAATTATTAGCAGCATGAGTTTACTCAGTTCCTTTTCAAGTGAGTCACAGCTACCTTTTTCCTGA